AATGTACTAGAAAAATACAATCAGAACAAAGGTTGCTTTGATTCACGTGTACCAGAGATCAACATATGATGTCAAACTACATATCAGAAGACACCTAAAAAGAAAACTACAAACTAAGAAAATTATTTACAAACCACATGACTAAGAGCCTTAAGCAAAAGGTCTATGTAGTCACTAACAGAAATGCATTCAAATTGAGAAAAATTTGTAACATTGTAAATTCTGCCTATCATAATGGCAAAAGAAGGTAGAATAGCTAATGTTGACAAGGACAGGAAGTGCACTAAGTACAGTTAAGTAATCTGGATGTTTTCCTCTTTTCTGTGTATTGTAGATCCTATGCTTATATTACGGTCCAGTTTGGAGTGAGTTGTTAGTAGGGCAGGATTAAGGTAGGACTCCTGCTGTGGCACTGTACGATAAGCACTGGGCTTTGAACCACAAGGTCAGTAGTTCAAACCCACCAGCTGCTCCTCAGAAACAATGTACAGGTCGCTGTGAGTCAGAATCAGCTCGACACCTCTTAACAAAGATTAAAGTGGATCCAAGGAGGAGTGTTGGTATGGTGCTATAGGATAAACACTGGACTAATAATGGCAAGGTCAGCAGTTCAAACCCACCATTCACTCCTTGGAAACGCTATACAGGGTCACTATGAGTCATGAATGACTCAATGGCACTTAACAAGGAGTAAGGACGCCACTTGTCTATCAGTATGTCATACTGTGGTGGCTTGTATGTTGCTATAACGCTGGAAGCTATACCACTGGTATTTTAAATACTACTAGCAAATCTACCCACAGTGGATAGGTTTCAGCAGAGACTCCAGACTAAGACAGACTAGGAAGTAGAAGAGGCAGACAGACCACTTCTGAATGGTTAGCCACTGAAAACCTTTTAAACAGCAGAGGAGCAATGGCTGATATCGTGCCACATGAAAGCCCCTCGGGTTGGAAGACACTCAAAATACAACTGGGGAAGAAATGCCTCCTCAAGTAGAACTAACCTTAAAGACTTGGATGGAGCTATGTTTTCCAGACCTTCATTTGCTTGCTGATGGGGAATGGCTCAAAATGAGAAGAAACAGCTGCAAACTTCCACTGATAATCAGAACGTGGAATGTATGAGTCTAGAGAAATTGGAAGTTGTCAAAAAACAAATGGAGAGAGGCGGGGCTTGATGGCTGCTAGGGTGGTGGTGCAGTGAAGTTCGCCGTCAGCCATACCACAGAATGCCAGGCAAAGCAGATCCAGGGCAGAGCTCCAAACCTCGGAACCACAGAGACAGGAATATTTTAAAAGTTTGAAGGCTTATAGCTAGTGGAAGTCGAAGTTGATGTAAGAAATCGTGTACTTTTGAATCTGTCTGGCTCGGAGGCCCAGAGTCGACATCTTGGGTGAGACCAAATGCCAAGACCAAGCCGGGAAGCAGACACACCATGGAAAAATGCCGCGGGAACCTTAGAGCAAAGGGGGACAATACACTTTGTCAGTTTTGCTTTCTTCTGATTTTCTTTTTTTGGTTATTTGGTCATTGGTGCCCCCACTGTTTGCGCACCTCCATTCTGGTGACTAGAGGGAGTGCCTGAGCGAGTGAACACCCCCCCACCCTCACCACTGGTGGCTTCTTCTGCTACACATGCGCACAGATACTCAGCCCAAGAACAGACTCTGAACGTTTTTTTGTTTTTGTTTTTATTTTTTAATATGGGAAAGGGCAGCACAGAGCTGTAGAGAGGGATTAAATGCACCTGTTCAGAGATGGAGGGTGGCAGAATGGATAAGAAAACAAGATCCTTCAATATGCTGTCTGCAAGAGACATCTCGCACACAGAGACAAAAACAGATTAAAAGTCAAAGGATGGGAAAAAATATAACAAGCTAATTGCAATCAAAACAAACAGGAGTGGCAGTACTAATCTCAGAAAAATAAACTTTAAGGCAACAGCCAGTGTAATAGATAAAGATGGACATTATCTCATGATTAAAGGGACAATTGAACAAGATGAAATAACCATAATAAACATCTATGCTCCCAATGAAAGAGCTCCAAAATATATAAAACAAACTCTAAACTTTGTAAGCCAGTCATTTCGTGCTTTTATCGCCCCCTCATTTTAGGTAGCCAATGTCTAAGTTGCCTGTCCCTATCTGCTCTGTGTACGAGGGAATAGCATTGATACTTGCCAGAGAAGCAGCAGAGTCAGAGATGGAAGCAGAGATGGGGGCATGGAAAGGGGGAGCAGCTGAGGACTCTAGATTCATGAGAAGAGAGGGACTAAGAGCTGGTGGCCAGGAGACAGACTTGCGGAATGTGCCTTTTGGAGGTGTAAATTATTATATATACCTGAGTGTTTTTTTGTTTTTTAAAATAAGCTAAAGTGAATAGAAAGAAATACTATTAACTGATGGTACATGGGATTATAATCATTGTAATGAAACAAGGCGTATGATTTATTGAATGTAAAACTGATGATCTGCCCTGTAAACTTCCACTCAATCCACAATAAAAACCTTCAAAAAAAAAGTAAAGAAATCAAATGACATATTGCATTAGCCCAATCTGCTGTATCTCTTTAAAATGCTAAGAACAAAGATACAACTTCAAGGACTAAGGTACACCTGACCCAAGCCATGGTATTTTCAATTGTGAAGGTTCCATATGATAAGCAACAGACTTCAAACTATAAGGTCTGTAGTTCGAGACTGCTAGCCACTCCATGAGGCTTTTTGCTCCCTTGAAGATTTAAAGCCTCAGAAACCCCATACAGGGTCGATGAGTCAGAACCAACTCCACAGCACTTAATATGCATGTGAAAGTAGGTCAATGAATAAGGAAATTCACAGAGGAATCGGTCCATTTGAATTATGGTGTTGGTGAAGAGTCCATGAAGTACCACGGACTGTGAGAACAAACAAAGCTGTCTTGGAAGTAGCACAGCTAAAATGCTCCTCAGAAGGGATGGTGAGACTTCATCTCTCGTACTTTGTGGACAGTTGATGGAAAAGGATATCATGCTTGGTGAAGTGGAGGGCCGAGAAAAAGAGGAAGAACATCAATGAGATGGACTGACACATTGGCAGCTACAATGGGTTGAAACCATTTTGAGGATGATGCGGGACCTGACAGTGTTTTCATCTGTTGGACAGAGGGTCGCTACAAATCGCAACCAACTCAAAGCCACAAGGGATAAGGATTAAGGTGGAACTAATGATTAAGGATGCCCCAACTGCACTACAGGATGTGACTCAAATCACTACTCTTAGTTTTCCTGGGGGGCATGGTCTCAGTCCAACATGTAGGAATGCTTTGGCAAAGTCCTCTCTTGCTTTGGCTCACGCACCTGCTCATCTGTCTGATTTGCAGGACTTCTGGCCTAGCAATCAGCCTGATGCACCCGCTCCCGCAGCCATGTGCATCCACAGCCTGTTGTCTGACCTCAGCCCAAGATGATGGGTAAGAAGAATCCTCCACTGACCTCTGAACTAGATCAGGGACTTGCCTGCCTCAACTGTGTGGGCCATTTTCTTGACCGTTCCTGAGTTTTATGAGGCACTGCAGCATACGGCAGACCCCTGGGACTTCAGGGAAGAGAGGAGTGGTGGTTGATATCAGGAGTAAGCAGTGGTATAACACATTCCTGGTGTGGCACTTGGATAAGCACTGGGCTGCGAACCACAATGTAGGCAGTTCAAACCCACCAGCTGCTCTTCAGAAACCCTAAATAGGGCGAGTATGAAGTGGAGCAGACTCAAGGGCACTTAACAACAACATAACATACTAGAAAAGTAGGACATCTGGGGTATCTTTAACCTCTACCTGATCCAACTAAAAGAAATTACCTTTGCTAGAACTATCAATAAATTGCTAGCAAAGTAGGTCACTTCAGATTTTTTGTTAGCAATGTGACAAAATATACCCTTTAACCTTGTTGTTGTTAAGTGTCTTCGAGTCTGTTCTGACTTCTAGCGACCCTGTGTAGGGAGTCCAAGGAGAAGCTGGTGGGTTTGCACTGCTGACTTCACAACACTTCGCATACAAGCACCAGGGGAAAAGCCACTGCCATGCAGCAGATTCTCACTTACAGCAAACCTACAGGACAGAGAACATCTGCTCCTTAGGTACGCCTGAGGCTGTAAATCCTCGTGGGAACAGAAAGTAAACTAAAAATGTATAAACATTTAGTTAAGACTGTTATGACAGTAATAGGAACAGGATAAATAATTTATGGTAAATCCATTTAATTAAATATACACATAATAAAATACTGTTGAAATATTTGACACTGAAAAATGTTTCTCATTTAAATTCAAAAGAGGACTTAAGCAGACACTACAAAATACTATGTTCAAGATACACAAGTTTCTAAACAATAAAACGTATAGTGAGAAAATCTAAGAGGACGTACAGCAAAATGTGGTCAATATTCTCCTTTTTGCTTATCGGCATTTTCTACAACATTAGGCCTATATTACCTGTGTACTTTGTTTGTTTTTAATTGGTTAACAAAATTTGAGTTCAACAGAAAAATCTTCTAATGAGAATTTAAACTGAATTTTGTTAGTAATTCACTCCAGGTTTTTTCATTGTACTTGCTCAAAAATCAAAGTTCATTATTTTGCTTGAAACAACTTTGAGAATTAAATTGTCATGTAAAAGAGGAAGCAAACAGGCATTAAATGACAGGAAAGCAAGTGAGGAAAAAATTGCAATCTTTGTCTCACTGGCCACTACAGTGGAGTAAATAACGTTACAGTTAAACAAAAACATGTTTATTTTCACCTTCAAACAGCAAACTGTTTACTTTTTTCCCCCCAATACAATCATAATTAACTTACAAAAAAATGGCATTTACAATGTATATTCAAAGTATTTCCCTTTAACGGGAAACAACATTATAGAACAAGATTAAAAAGTTAAAAAAAAAATAAACAACATAAAAATCCATTCTGTTGCTTTTATAAAATAAAACAGATGCTAGTATAAGTCAAGAAATTCTCTTATACTTCGGGTCCTTCTCCTCCAGGAACCAGCTGCATACAAAGAAAAAAATTTTCTTAGCAATACCACAACATTATCTAAAAACCCATACCCATCCATCAAAACCACCTTTGCCTCTCTCCTCATCCCTCACATTCCCATTTTCTCCACAGTCAATTAAAAAACAAACCAAATTCATTGTGGTTGAGCCGGTTCGAACACATAGTGACCCCATAAGTCAAGAGATGAACTACCCTATAGTGTTTCCAATGCTTTCATCTTTATGGGAGGAGACTGCCAAATCTTTTTCCCAAGGAGTGACTGACACGTTGAAACTGCAAACCCTGCAGTTAGCAGCTGAATGTTCAACCACTGTACTACCAGGATTTAGCATTTCCAGTGCTACCAATCAGTACTCAAAGCATCTTGACAGTGATTTCTGACTAAATAAATTTGAAAACCCAGGCAAACTAATCTTTAGGTCCAATATCATATTCAATAGCTCAACTTTAGTTACATGACCACCACAACATCCCTTTCCCATCTTAAGCACTACTGGGCCATGGGCATTTAGTCAAACAAACAGCATCATGACTTAGTTTTGTAATCTCTGTCTCACATAAATAGGCTAATGTCTAAATAAAATAGCATTGGCTTCAATGCTTACCATTGTTATATTATTTCCATTTAGCAAAATCTGATCTAATTTAGTAATCCTTCTTCCTTCTGGTGTGATTTCACTAAACAAAAAGATAAGAACCAAGTTAAGCAGAGATAATAAAAGTCAAAATTCCTGAAATATTTCCATCCCTAAAAAGGTTATCCTCTATATAAATAAATGTTGTTGTTGTTGAGTGATGCTGTCGAGTCAGTTCTGACCCACAGCAACCCCGTATAGGGTTTCCAAGGAGCCACTGGTGAGCTTATACTTGTAACCTTGCAGTTCAAACAGCTTTGCAGTCTGGTGCATTCACCCACAATGCTACACCAGGAGATTAGGCAATTTTATCAATAACTTTCAAAGACAAAGATTATCCACAGTCTTACCTTAGAGGTAGGAATTAATTGACTGGCCTAAGATTCATTATCTTCATAAAAGACAGTGAAACTTGCCAAGGAAGTCAAGTATGAAATATTTATTAGCCTCACTCTTCCTTAACACATCTATTGTTGCTAATTCCCAACCATTAAAGCAATTTGTAATCAATTCAATTTTGAAAGCAAGGATATTGGTCATGATCTTCATAATTAACACAAATGAGCCCTCATTTACATTTTATACAATACAGTAAAATGCTCTTATTATCATTCCTTGATTTGACCTAAGTTATTTTTAGTATCATTCACCTTAAAACTGTTGCTACTAATTTTCTAGCAATATAATAATAATTATTACCGTAATAACCCTCTGATACAATTTTACAGCATCAGTAGATAAGAATTTCTATCTTTAAAGTTAAGCCAACAGGCAAATTTTTCTCATAAATCATTTTACTGGCTCAATACTTATAAAATTGCCTTAAATTAAGAAGGACATTCCCCAAAACTTTTTTTATTTTTAACACTACTTACAACTCAGTGACATCTTCCAACACCATATCTGAAATTTAGTGTTAAGAAAATAAATATACCAGATTGGAATTACTGTTTTATGCCTTTGTTAAATTTTAGTGATAATATCTAACATAATTACTTTAATGTGAAATGCATGTGTTCTTGTTAGAAACTTTATTTTTGTAAGTACATAATATCTCTTAAAATGCTATTACAAGTTTCCCAAGTCAATTGATTTCTATTATAATGAATAAATACTGATTATCCAAAGTTCTTACTTATGTTAGTAAATACATAAGAAAAACCTATACCACAAACTTTTCAAAGGATACTGACAAAGTCATCAAAACCTAGAAGTGTGCCAACAATTTCCTTGTCACTCTTCATCACAATGTGAATTCTTGACCCTATACACTTGTCCACAAGCTCTATGAACAAATTCAAAGAAAGAAAAAATAGATGAAAGAAAAGGATGGTTTCAACAATTCATTAGTTCAACCACTATCTGAGTGCCTACTGGTACTCAGTTACTTGCATATGGTGAACGAAAAATATTCATTCAACTTTAGTTCTTATACTATAAATCTCTGTTCAACCTGTATTTTTAATAGAAATGTTTTATTCTGAATGCCCCTTACCTCCCCTCTGTCGCGATTTGCCATGGTTGTGTGTGTGTGTGTTTTGAGTTTTTATTGTGAATTGAGTAATAGTTTACATGGGAGAACAACGGTTTTATACCATTGTTTCCTTGCATTGATTACCATCTCCTCCACGCATCATTGTTAAACAGTATTTGCTTTTCTATTCCGTTTTTTGGTGTGTGTGGTGTGTGTTTTTTTTGGGGGGTGGAATGTGCACAAAAACACTTAGGAATATATAATTTAAACCAAAGGGATGATTGTGTTTTATACTTTATATTATTTAATATATGAACTCCCCTCTAGGCTCTAAGCTCTTATTTTTGTCACTGTATTCCCCATGGACAGTGCCTGCGATATACTGGACACTTAAAAAGAGCTTGTCAAATGAAGGAATAAAAACTGTCCAATCACGGCCTTGACCCCTAATTAACTCAATCACTCTTCACCAATCACGAAATATCAGGGGAGAGGCATAATTACCTTCACCCTTCTCACCTGCCTCACCCAACCAGATCTATCGTCTGATAGATGTGAACACCTAACTTAGCAAGGTTAGCACTATTCGGCATGATCTTTATTTGTTCAGTATCTATTACCTCCACTGTTCTGTTACTAGACTGTGGTTTAAATTGATTGTCGAGTAGTGCTGTTACTGCTGTCTGCGGTGCCTCCTCCAAGAATCGTTTGTTCGATAGGTGACAAATTGAGCTAGCCTCTTTTAAGTCTCATTCCGGACCGGGGTACTTCTCTCAATAACCAGCCAGGCACAGATATGATAAGGTTTTACTGAGTATCTTAATGCCAGCTTTGGAGGATGGAGGAAGGTCGCTACCCAAGATATGATAGAGGCGTGTTCACAACACAGAAGGCAGAAAGCATGCATTCAGCTCATTAACTGTAAAAGGCGAACGATTTATTCGATGTGAAGAGAAACCAGAGTATAGTTCAGTAACTGTAGACCTTTCTCCAATGGCTGGTTTGGGCAGTCCAATGCTCCTGCCTCAAACAAGCCTACCACGCTGAGGCAGGAGCGTGACCAAGGGTCACAAACATGGAAGCCTAAAGACGAGCCGCAGAAGGAAAAAGCAGTTGGTCTGACACATTTTCCCACATTCTACCGCCTGGGTTGCAGCGTCTCTGCCCCAACCCTGAGCTTCAGCACCCCGATTTCTCGTAGAACGATTACCTAGAGGTAGAAGCTGCGATGGGTTGGTGGTAGCGTTAGCGGCCATGGTGACGCCGGAAGAGGCCTGCGTCTATCGACGTTTCAAACACGCAAGTTTGAAAGTGCGCGCTTCCGCTTTCTTCCTCTGCCTGGGCAGGCTCTACCAATCTGAGACCGAGCGAGCAATCGGGCCCAGACCTAGTTACGTGAGCCTGCTCGCTTCTGTCTGGAGAAATACGAATTTCTGTCCGCCCAACATTCGACTATCTCTGAAAGGTATCCAGTCTTCTCTCGAAATTTCTGAGATCCGTTCATTAAAGTTATCTTGCTCTATCAATAAATTCTTCCTCTAAACCGGAAGATTTAGAAAAATATCGGACTGTCGTTTTATTTTCCTTTAGAAAACTGCATCTCTTCTGAAAGATTTTAAATCTTCTTAAAATCTCTTCTTTCTTCAGATCAGTAAGTCAATTCGTTTTTCCCGCCACCAAATCACTGTTTCATTTATTGCAAAAACTGTTTGTTTTAATCCAGTGAGTTGAAAACCCACAAACTTGCCTCTGGTAAACATTTCTCCTTTGGGTTTAAAAAAACAAAAACAAAAAATTATTGAAATTTGTAGCGGAGATCGCCATTCAATAATTTGTCCACATTTTGTTTCGTGACATTAGATGCAGTTCCCATAATAGAACAGCTCTTGTTCCATGGGTTCCCATTTTTATTTGTCCACCTTTTCAGCCCTTCCTTCCTTCTGACCTGTTTTGGGGCAAATTCTGCCCTTTGGGTCTGCTATGATTGATCTAAAGAACATGTTCTTCATGGGTGTTACTATTCACTTTATAAAAACCCACTCTATAGGCCTGTTGTTAGATTGAAAGGTGTGGGTTCAGTTACAGGTTTGCAGGATGTGTAAAGGCCGTAGTTGGCGATTCCACCAGTCTCTATTAGGCCGGTCCGTCTTTTTTTATGATTTTTAACTTTGTTCTGCGTTTTCCTACCAGTCTGACATGGAACTTCAGTGCTCCCGATCAAAGCTGTCAGAATAGAAGCCACAACATCTAATTCTGGTCTCAGGCTAGTGGAGGTTGTGGTTCATGTGGTTCATGTGGTCCATGACTCCTTTGAACTAATTGTTTCCTTGAGTCTTGAATTTTCTTCACTATTCTTTGCTCTGGTCTAGAAGAGACTGGTTGTTCTGTCTTAGATGGTCGCTTGCCAGACTTAAGATGCCTATCTTACAAGACTGTTGTTGTTAAGTCGGTTCCCACCCATAGCGACATTGTATAGGGTTCCCGAGGAGTGGCTGTTGAACTAGAACTGCCAACTTGCGGTTCAAACCGACTTTGCAGTCCAGCACATTAACCCACAGCTCCCCAAAGAGTATGCAGAACATTGCCTTTATTGACAATGCTGTGCCAATTTATCTAGATGTCCCCCAAGACTATGGTCCTAAACCCTCAAGGCCAGTGACTCAGTTCCTTAATAAATTTGGTTATAGCTGAGAAATACGCATAGCTCCTCCCCCTGCCCCCTCCAGTATGCTTTGGAGTTCTGGCATATCTCAGCAGGATAATACACTGGACCGGATGGTTGGTTTGAACCGGAATGTTGCAATTCAACCCCACCAACCTCTCCTCAGAAACCCTATACAGGGTCTTTATGAGTCGGAACCGACTCCCAAATTGACGACAATAATAACTGGCACTATGGGTTAATGTACTGGACTGCAAGGTTGATCTGAACTGCAAGGTCGACAGTTTAAGCTCACCAGCTGTTCTTGGGAAACCCTATATAGGGTCACTATGAGCCAGAACTGACTCGACGGCACTTAACAACTGTGTGTGTGTATAATTAAAGCATACTGTTGCTAACAACGCAACAGTACTGAACAACAACATATTTAGGAATCTATATATACTGTGGCTTTTTTAACTCAGTTTATTCAAAAATGCAGTCTTACCAGATGTTACTCTAAATTATATGTTCATGTCATACTGGAAAACCATAGTACTTTACAATGTTTTGAAAATAATAGAAAGCAAACAAATTAGCTGCCTTATTCTAGTTTATATTTGTATCCTAGGAATTTAAAGCAAAATTGTCTAAATAGTAATATCACTCATTTATACAGCAAGTGGTTAAGAACTAATCATTCATTCATTAAACTAACATGTATTAGTTGCCTAGTATTTGAGTGGCATTTTTTTGACTATAAAAGTATACTCAAAAGAAGATTTCTCCGGCTCTTGTTGTAGTGTTTAAGTTCTATCAAGTCTGTTCTGACTCACAGCCACCTGTATAGATTTCTAAGAGCACTGCTGGGTTTGAACTGTTGACCTTGTGGTTAGCAGTTCAGTGCTTATCCTAGTGTTGACCACAGGAACTTAAAAATAAGTAGGACAGAATGACAACTAACATTATGTACAAGACACCATGAAATTTCATACATGAAACAAGATCTCTTTTACCTTCAGGAGTTCTAGAAAACTAGGAATGGTTTGAGTCAAATGTCAGGAAGTTCGAGGCTCTCGCAGTTCAAGTCCCCCTCAGGCTCAGTCCCCTTGTAAATATCAAGCCAATTCTAGCTTTCTTGTGTTATATAAATATTGAGCACCTACTGGACTCCTGGTGTGGCATGGTGGGTTAATGCACCAGACTGCAAAGCCGTTTGAACTGCAAGGTTGGCGGTTCAAGCTCATCAGCTGCTCCTTGAAAACCCTATACAGGGTTGCTATGGGTCCGAGTCGACTCGACAGCACTTAAACAACAACCACCACACTGGCTAGAGTCCTGGTGTTGCGCTGTGGGTTAATGCACCAGACTGCAAAGCCGTTTAAACTGCAAGGTCGGCAGTTCAAGTTCACCAGCTGCTCCTTGGAAACGCTATACAGGGTGGCTGTGGGTTGGAACTGACTCGACGGCACTTAACAACAACAACCATGCTGGCTGGAGTCCTGGTGTGGGCTAATGTGTCAGACTGCAAAGTCAGTTTGAACTGCAAGGGTGGTGGTTCCAGCTTGCCAGCTGCCCCTTGAAAACCCTATACAGGGTCACTATGGGTCAGAATCGACTTGATGGCACTTAACAACCACCACCATGCTGGCTAGCTGACTTAAAGTAGATGCTACATACAGCTAACATTGCTAGCTGGTTTCACGTTTGTCTTATTTTTGTAACCAGACAGAAGCCACCTTAAGGTGACAATTTTTGTTTGCTTTGCTGTTGTTTGAATTGATTCTCACTACAAGCTCACCAGCTGCTCCTCGGAAACCCTGTGCAGGGTCACTATGGGTCAGAATTGATTTGATGGCACTTAACAACAACAACAATTTCACTCATACCCATGAACATTCTCTTTAATCTTCATAATATTCTTACAATGCAGTGAATTTTTTAATATGTCTCTGCTGGCCATGGTCTGTAACTCCCAAGAAATGACTTTTTCCTGCTAGGAGCAGATAAGGGAAGATGTTGATATAATTATATGATTTAGTTGTGAGTGATTATTAACAGGCATAATTGTGATTGGTGTGGCTCTGCAGTATGAGCACTGGACTCTGAACCATAAAGTTGGCAGTTCAAGCTCACCAGCCACCCTGCAAGAGAAAAGTGGGGATTTCTGCTCCCACAGAATTTACAGTTCGGAAACCCTATACAGAGAAGCTATGAGTCGGAACTGACTTCATGACACTTAACAATAGCAACACAATTGTGATTGTAAAAATGTGCAACTCTCATGTGGGTATCGGAGTCCTGGTGTGGTACTGTGGGCTGATGTGTCAGACTACAAAGTTGTTTGAACTGCAAGGTCAGTGGTTCAAGCTCACCAGTTGCTCCTTGGAAACCCTATACAGGGTCACTATGGGTCAGAATCGACTCAACGGCACTTAACAACAACAACAACAACAATGTGGATATAAAATGAGTAATCTCAGAAGCAGGAATGGGGATCTCACTACCAATAAGAAAGAAGAGCCAAGAGAGGAGTTGTTCCGTTTGGACCTTGAGATGCATTGAACCTCCTTGATCCAAGTACAGATAACTGTTATACCAGAGGAGAAACAACAACAGAACCAAGAGTCAGAGCATTACAGCGGTGGCCTTCCCAACCCGTGGAATCAGCAAAGTTGAATGCCTTTATACAGGAGGCTCAATTGTGGAGTGAGTTGCCTTCAGGCACTTAGTTGTAAAAGCTAGCTTACTGACCCAGAGCCAAGCACCTTCAGTCTGAGACTTATAGCTGAATAGAGTACCCTCTGGCCATTTATCACCAGTTCTAAAAGAGCTTTGTAACATCACCAAGCAAGACAGAGTCCAGGTTAAGGGGCTGAGGGCCAGAAAGAGGCCTGACTGTGGACATTTTCTGTTCCTGAATTCTACCCGTTAATGCCCTTAATAAAACCTGTCATTGAGAGTATGGTTTGTGAGTTCTGTGTGGACATTGCAATGACTTCTCAAAACCAGCTGAGAATACTGTGGGAGGGATGGTTGGTGTCAGAATTGATAAAGAAGGGTGGTGGGTGAAGGTCTGTCTGACCTTTGCCTCATAGCAATTGGCCTTGGGCTGGTTTTGAGTTTGATTCTTCTTCCCCCTTGAAAAGTTAGAGGTCAAACACCACTCTCCAGGCTCCCCTTCTCACCCCCCCTTTTATACGGTTTTAAACAGCTCAATGGCTCTGTAGGATAACTGAACTGCTAACCACAAGGTCAGCAGTTTGATTCTATCAGCCCCTCTGTAGGAGAAATGTGAGGCTTTCTGCTCCTGCAAAGATTTACAGCTTTGGAAACTATACAGGGTCGCTATGAGTCAGAACCCACTCAACTTACAAATACAAAATAATGCTAAATTTGTGTGAGATCTTTTTCGTTTTCCTAGTTTTCTTTTCTATCCCCACACCTGTTTTATTTTTACCATTCCATAATAAAAGTATGGATCAAATTCAAGGCATTGTTTGTTTCTGCTAATTGACAGAGTTGAAAATATTCTTTTTTTAAAAAGTCAGCTTTTTACTTGGTTTCCCGCTACAAGAACAGAATGAATGTTAACAATTTTGAATGCCAAAACCAAATTCTCCTTTTATAAAGTCTAAAAGACCTATTGAAGATGGCAGGAGCTATTAAAGATTGCAAGAAGAAAGTGGTTTTATTTGTATTCTTTCCTGACAAAAGATACAGAAAGAAACAACAGGCAAATTCCAAATGGAAAGTTCATTTTTAATGAACTTAAAGATATGTCATAACTCCATTTCAAGGATTTTCCTTCTTGAAATTGTACATTTCTAAGTAATAGTATTTAAATGTAAGAACAAAATACTCCTGGCCTTAAATCGCTACCAAACCATCACACAGTATTTAAACGGAAGGATAAAATCTAAAATGAAATCAAAGGAATATTAAATGAACAAGTCCTGGTGTGGCGCTGCGGGTTAATGTGCTGGACTGCAAAGTCATTTGAACTGTAAGGTCAGGCGTTCAAGCTCACCAGCCGCTCCTCGGAAACCCTATATAGGGTCGCTATGCGCAGGAACCGACTCGACGGCACTTAACAGCAAAGTAACTCAAAAGGTTGAATACACATATGCACGGCCGCACCAGGCTAGAGAGGCGAAGGAAAGAAGTGAACGAAGCGGACTGTCAGAGAGTGAACGAAAAAGATGTTAAAAAGGAAAGCTGAAGAAAGCGAAGAGACAGAGACTTGAGAACGAGAAAAGGACTGGAAAGCTGATTGAGGCACAATTGTGCGACAGGTGAGCAGGCGGTGGGGCCGCCCGGCCCCGCCCCTCAGGCCCCGCCCTTGCCCCGTCAACTCCTCCCCTGGCCCCGCCCCGACGCAGCCCTTGGGACCCGCCCCGCTCCTGCTCGCCGGAGGCGGCCGCATCAGGTGACAGCCCGGAAGCGGTGGAAGCGGATGAAGGAAGCTCGGCTGTGGCCCCAGGGGGCGGCGCGTAGCTGCGCTAGCTGCTCCGTCTCCTCCGGGCTTCCTGCGCGGTCCTCATGCGGCACCACGCCAGCTGACACCTGAAGTGCGTCCGCTCTCCGCCCTCCTGGAGACTGCGGGGTCGCCCAGCGCCCCGCCCGCGGCGGTTGAAGTCGTCGTTGTGCAGACCCACGGCGGCCGCCCATGGAGAAGAACGAGCGGGACGGCGATGGCGTCCCCCGGGGGCCCGTACTGCACATCGTGGTGGTGGGCTTTCACCACAAGAAGGGCTGCCAGGTGAGAAGGGTCCGCGCCTGCCCCCGGCGCTTCGGGCGTTCGTCCACTGCCCGGCGCCCACTCCGCTCGGCCACGCGCTGTCTCCCCGCGGCCTCCCATCTGGACTTGACTCCTTCCCAGCTGCTCTCGCCTTACCCGCAACCCGAAGCCCAGCCCCCGCGACCTGTTCAAGCTTCTGCCACTAAAAATTGTGTTGTGAGCAGCGGGCAGCTTGTTTGGTATATGAGAGTTGGTGGTTGTTTTTTTCATTCTTCTTTGGTGAAGTGGAAGGGAGGGATCGAAGATCGGTCCCGCTCTTTCCCCATGGCTGTCTCCACTAACCTTTGAGGTGTCCACTTACAATGGAAGCCTTGAGAAAAACTCAGCACCTGGACTCCGTTTTCAGTGTAATGAGCTCTTTAGGTTTCCATACAAATGCCTTAGGTTGGCTGAAGCACACACTACTGGCGTTTTGAGGAAATCGACTAAACAAATGCCTTTGTTTATCTGCTGAAAGTCCTGTAATTACATGAATTTAGATTTGTCCATTGACGCCGCCCCTCTCCCTCATTGAGGTTTAGTGTTACTGTTTGATATTTTCCAGATCTTACCTTTTGCCAAGAGATTGACCTCTCCAGATAGTTGCAGTGGAGAGAATGTGTATTTACCGAGCATGAAATGTGCAAAAAGCATTTTAAAATCTGTTCACTGATTCTGTAATATAGTGTTTGAAATGGTGAACGAGAACAATGGAGCATTTGCAATCTATGTATTGAAGGCATTGGAACAAAATAGAAACAGGATTCTTTAATGTTAGAGTAAACATTGGAAAACAGTGATGTCATAATGTCTAGTAAACATTGAAATGTTTATTTAAGGTATTTAACATACCTGTGCCTCCTATGACTAGTAGGTAATGTAGCAGGCGGTTTCTTGCATTTCACAGAAAACTAACACTGTAGAAGACTTATTGACAAAAGTTAAGTTCTTCAGAGGGTGATAACAGAAAAGAAATGAAAAGATGCTTGTGTTCGTGTTTTAAAGACTGAATAACTAGAATATAACCTAGTTCTTGTTTCACAGCTAAAAATATCATAGAAAGGTACAGTTATGGATTAAATTATTTCCAAAAAAATTGTGTTGTAAACCCTAACCTCTGTGCCTATGGTTGGACTCCTGGTGTGGCTCTGTAGGATCAGCACTGGACTGCGAACCACAAGGTTGGCAAGTTCAAACCCACCAGCTGCTCCTCGGAAACCCTATACAGAGTCTGCACTTAACAACAACAAATTCCTATGATTATAATTCCAGTTGAGAAAGGCTGACTTTGTTATATTGATTAGGCAAGGTTAGTGTAGGGTATATCTTGAGTCAGTCTCTTTTGATGAATGAAGGGAATTAAACAAGCAAGCTAGCAAGCTGAGGTGGGGGAGGAAACATGCCAAGCGACATGAAGATCGCTCTAGAGCAGCTCAGAAGAGAGGAGGACCTTCCTCCAGAGCTTAAACTTGACACCCTGAGTTTACACATCTCATCTCCTAAATGGTGAGAGGAGTCCTGGTGTGGTGCTGTGGGTTAATGTGCTGGACTGCTGCAAAGTCAGTTGCTTTGAACCTCAAGGTCAGTGGTTCAAGCTCACCAGCCCTTCCTCAGAAACTCAAAACAGGGTCGCTATGGGTTGGGACTGACTCGATGGCACTTAACAACAACAAACTGAGAAGATAAATGTCTGTGTTTTTTTTTAAAGCCATCAACTTGTGGTGTTTTGGTTACAGCAGCTCTAGATAACAAGACAGATAGCAAGGAGAAAATAGCATTATTCAGTGTGATACTAAAAATACTACTCAGTAGCAGTGGAATATAAATTGCCTTTTGTTTTTTAAGGTAGCCCTGTATTTAGAGGTAAAAGATTTGAGACTATCATGGCATGCTAACAGTGTCTAATGTTATTAGATTTTTAATAATTTTAAATCTAAAGCTTCGTATCTTTAAACGTAATCATTATTTTATAACTTTCCTTGTCTGTAGCTGAAGTAATTGAAACTGGGAGGAGGCAAATGAGCTTGCTGTGGTCACACGGCAAAACAGTTCTGAAGTCAGCACTAGAATTGATTCTAGCACCATATGGTTTATTCTGCCATATGGCATTTTAGGAGTCTTTCAGGGTAAATTAAATAGGACCCCAGTTCAGAACCAAACTGATGGGGCCTTTTAGAAAGAAGGAAATGTCTATATATTAGTAGGCAATAGATTAAAATCTCTTTTGAGTTTTTGCTATGTAAAGTTGAGGTTAATTATTATATGCCTGTATTATTGGAGAAAGTAAATAATCTTTCCAAAAAAGAAAAGTTGTTTCCTGAAAATATAATATTGCTTGCATTTTAAAGAAAATTGAAAAACAGAGGAAAGAGGCACTTTGGGCAGAAGTAACTTTGGGTGCTATGAGATTGCTTTTGAATTTCTCGGGCTTTGGTTTCCGCACGGACACACACAAAGGTGGCTGGTTTTGTAAAAGGAGAACTGTACCAGAGTTAGACCTGGACAACATCCCGGCTGGCTCCTCCCATTACCTCCAGCAATTGCACACCGCTTACTTTTGTGTTTTTTTCCCACCTCACTTTTCTAGATTATTCATAAGAGTGTAGACCTGGGAGGGAGGGATCCTTGGAGATCATCTACCATCTACCTCAATTCCCTTACATTTATAAGAAGAAGCTGAAACCCAGAAAAGTTAGGACTTTATATAACTTCTTGGTGGTGTTAAGTGCCATTGAGTCATTTCCAGCTCATAGCAACCTTGTATAGGGTGTTCAAGGAACTTATGGTGAGTTTGAGTCGCTGACCTTGCACTTCAAACCCATCTTGTAGTCCAATGCTTACTCTGCAGTACACAGTTTGGCATTAAAACTGAAACCCAGGTGTTCCGATTCTTTGTAATTATCACTTTTAATAACACTTTTAAGTTACAGGCTGTTAATTTAAAAAGCAAAATAGATTAACTTTTTTTGTGTGATCCAAAAAGTGATTCGTGGAGGCAATGACAATTACTTCTTTGAATAAACATTCTTGAGTGTCTGCTTACCTATGTTGTTATTGCTGTTAGGTGCCATTGAGTCGGTTCCGACCCATAGTGACCCTGTTTAGGCTTTCCGAGGAGCAGCTGGTGAGCTTGAACCACCGACCTTGTGATTCAAACCCATCTTGCAGTCTAGCTCATTAACCCACAGTGCCTCACCCCAGGACTCCCTGATCACCTTAATTACTGATAAAATGGAAAAGGATTCTGCCACAATGCAGTAAAAGGTAGAAACCTAGTCTGGGTTGTTTGTATTTTCTCTCAGGTCTCAAAGTGGCTTATAATTGTTAAATGAAAGAAAGTGGCTTTTAAAAAATGACACCTACCTCTTCGGTGTTTCGGCAGAAAATGAAGCCTGAGAACCCATTTCCACAAGCTGCAGTGACAAAAGTACCACAAACTGGGTGACTTAAAACAACAGAAATGCATCCTCTCCCACTTCTGGAGGCTGGAAGTCTGAAATCAAGCTGCTGGCCATCTGCCCTCCTCTAGGATAGAATCTTTCTTGGCCTCTTCTACCTCCTCCAGCTTCAGGCATTCCTGGGTTGGCAGCATTACTGATAGGTAGTCTTCCCCTCCTGGGTGTCTGTCTCTTATAAGGACACCAGTCCTAGTGGATTGAGGGCCCACCCTACTCCATTATGACCTCATCTTAACTAATTAGCATGGAAAAATAAGGTCACATTTTTAAGTCCCAGGAAACCCATGAATTTTGGGAGGACATTCTCTAACTCAGTATAGTTATGTACACTTGCACTTGTTTTGTAAATCAAACTTGAGGGTGTGATACCGCTAATCAGAGTCATAATACACTGTGAAAAAAGGCCATTTTTATATCCGTTTGAAAACTGTTTCATATAAATTATACCTCTTTGCTCAAGTTAAGGAGCTCTGGCAGCGTAGTGGTTATGAATTGGGCTGCTAACCTCAAGATCAGCAGTTTGAAAGTACAAGCTGTTCCCCGGGAGAAAGATGAGGCTTTCTGCTCCTGTAAAGATTTGTAGTCTCAGAAGTCCTATATACAGGGTCACTGTGAGTAGAAACCTAATCGATGGCACTTCACCACCACCACCTGTATTGGCGATTGGTTGGGTCAGTGACACTAGAATTTCTGGATTCTAAGGTGTTCTAGTGTGGTGCTGTGTGTTAATGCACTGGACTGCAAAGTCAGTTTGAACTGCAAGGTCGGTGGTTCAAGCTCATCAGCTGCTCCACAGGGTCACTGTGGGTCAGAACTGACACGACGGCACTTAACAACAATAGCAAGGAGATTTAGGATTAGATGATTGGATAATGAAAAAACATTCATTGGCAACCCTCTGTGGTATACTAACTAGGTTATATATCTAGGGGCTGCAGACACTGCCAACCCAGACAGGTCACAGAGCAGGTGAATTTAAATCTCTCAAGGGTTGGTTGCTGAAGTTGACAGGTCAGTTCAGTCAAAAACAATGAAAATTTTGCTGGAGACTTTTCAGCTGGAACAGGAGAATAAATGCTTGTGTATGAGGAGTCCTGGTGTGGCGCTGTGTGTTAATGCGCCAGACGGCAAAGTCAGTTTGAACTGCAAGATCAGTGGTTCAAGTTCACCAGCTACTCCTCGGAAACCCTATACAAGGTTGCTATGGGTTGGAACCAACTTGACGGCACTTCACAACAACAACAATTTGGTTTGAATCGGGGAAAAAAAAGAAAAAAATAGTTTGACTATATTTTCCCCCCATTATTGGTTACTCTACTTGTAAATAAAATGTCAAGAACAATGTACTGAACTTTTTAACATGTTCTTTTTTTTTGTAATTTGTTTTTGTTTGTTTTTTTAACATGTTATGTTCTTAAAAGTATCTTCACTAATACAGATAAGTCTTCTGCCATGTTTTATAACTGTCAGTTTGTTGCACTATAGTAACTTGTGTGTTTTGCTGTCATGCCGCAGTATTTTGAA